TAATGATGATGATAATACTTACAATGATGATGATGATGATGATGACGATAATGATAATAATAATAATAATAATAAAAGACGTTTAAGAAGCGTTAAGAAATATTCATAAATTACACAAATGTTTGTAACAACAACAATAAGCGGGTAAAACATGAACATAAAAATAAAAAATAACTTCTCTAGAGAATTTACTTTTTAATTTTTTGATTTTTTTTAGTCGAATTGTCAAAATTCTAAAATATTAAATTGTTTTAATAAAGGATTGATAATTTATAGTAAAATTTATCATATACTTTAGTTTGACAACTGTAATTAAATAAATGTATGTGTGTTGAAAGCTCAGTACTTATATTAGAAAAACTTTTTATTCATTATCTGCTCTTATGGAATAACTGTTCTGTTTGGGACTTCATTCATATTATGTCCCAGTTTCTATTATGCAGTAGACACTTCATTTCATTCAAATATGCTTTAAAGCCAATGAGGACACTTATTACTTTATGTAAATATTTTGTGTTTATTGGAGGTGAGTTATAGGCCCATTGGGCCGGGTGTATTTAATATGTTGTAAAATTAGATTTGTAAAATATGTTTACACACGTCACTAAAATAAATAAATTACTTACTTACTTATACACAGAATAAAAAAAATAAAGATCCCTTCACATTATCTGCGGATTTCATAATTGAAATAAAACTTTACCAGTATAAGAATATGTGGAGTATCGGTTACAATTCAAAAGTCCAATTTGAAAAATGATTTTACTATCAATATATAATTTATTATGTTCTTAACTTGATTTTTTACAACAAATTGCGACAATTTTTATTTTTTAAACAAAATATTACTTATACAAAAACTGTTTCCAAGATACATAGTTTATTATAACCAGGGTACAAATGTTTAATTTACATAGTACGGCCATGTTCCCCTGTCCTGAACAATGTTCAAGTCACCGATTTATACAGAAACACGGCTGATGGGAGACGAGGAAACTCGGGAGATGATGATGATATTTTCAAAGAAATGCTATTTCGATAATTTGACATCATCTATCAACAATACACGTACATACACCGCAGTGATATTCATCTGATTCTAGCTTGTTTACTTAGATATAATTGGACCTGGCGGCAGTGTACTTCAGAATTTACTTTAAGATATAACTTAATTGTGTCTTGTTTAAATGACGAAATCCGCCAGATAAAAGGATAACAACAACAGGACGCTGCAAAAACATTGGCTATATCTGTTTCATTTTAATATGTCAGGTTAGAGTCTTTATAATATCTTGAATAAAATCACATAGAGACTCTGTTATAAGATCCCAATTTAATTCCATTCTTTCTTACAAGAAATTAACAGTGAAAATTACCGTTAAGACATTCAACACCAATTGCGCGAAATTACGTAATCGGAGAAAACCGACACTCGTGATACCCTGCTGCGTTTATGATCAATATCCGGATCAATATATATTTGTTTATTTGTGTCTCATCTATGTACATATAACATATTACAAACACAAAATATCATAATACATGTACACAGCCATTCTATATAAGAATTATAAGAGACAAGACAATCATTTACACATAAAAGAACTCTACTTGCTACTAAAATCAAGTACAAAGTGGCTAAAAGGATAAAAAAGTTTTTGTTTTTTTTTCAGAGTGCCTGTAAAAAATAATTTATATATATTGTAAAATGAAGCTTGTAAAATACTAATTACTTAAAACCATATGAAACAGTTAAAATATTGTACTTATGATGTATTTAGTCCTAATAACAAGATATTACTTCTTTAAAAATAATAATTTCCAGTTAGCTTATAAACATCTTTGAATTGTACTTGTATTAACAAATAAAACCATTAAAAACTTGTTAGAGTTGTGCTACTGTATAGTTAAACAATAGTGGTATGTTACAATTCAATTAGTATTCTTACTATATATCAAGTTGTTTCTATATTTAAGAATCTCACAGCAGGTTTTTGCGAGCAGTCTTATCATATGAGTGTCCTGGTGGGCAAATAAGTACATAAACTTTTCATGTTTTGACATTGTAGTAAATAAGTCACAAGCATAGTTGGCATAATCTAACAATGGCTTCCTAAAGTTGTCATACATAGAACATTCCATTATTACATGCATTTCATTTTCAATACCATTTAGACAAAGTGGACATATCCTTTCATGTTCGGGTAAGTGTTCATATCGACCAGTTTCAAGACGGATAGGTGCAACTCCGCAACGGAATTTAGCCAAAGCTGACCTGTAAGAAACAGGAATTAATAAACGACAATATTTCTCTGTAACATACTCTTTTTTTGAAATGCCTGTATGTACGAAGTTTATTTCTCCCGGAACCATTGCTACTGTTTTCCCTGGAAATATCCGCTTTCCACTGAGCGATATGAACATCAACCAAAGCTTTAGTTAAATCATCAACCATACTTTTGCGATTAAACGGGAAATGAACATATTGATAAACATCAAGTCCTAATGACAATAAAAAGTTTTCAAACAATATAGCACCAGTTTTTACAATTTTTTTCCCTTTTTGTTAAAAGCCCAGTTGAAAATTTTCTTATTCATTCTACTTTCTTTAAGACAAAGAGTTCTGTGCCAGTGGTTACCCACTGCTTTCCATTGCTCAACAATAATTGGATTCCAACCTGTTTCACCATATACAGCAGCATTTGGTGTGTATTTACCCGTGCCTAGGAAGTACCTCATAGCTCTGTTATGAATACTATTAATACAACTATAAGATTTTATACCCCAAATAGCAGCTCCATATGTTATAACAGGTACAACACATGTATAATACAATTTCGTATAAACATTAAAATGCAAACCCCCTGAATTTTTAAATTTTGCTATAAGGAGACCAAGAGCACGACTTGCACTTTGAGCTACATGTTTAGCAGTGATATTGTAATCTAAATATTCGTTCAACAATAGACCTAGATACATGTATTGGTTAACAGTTTCTAACGCAGACTCACCACATGTAAATTTGAAATTTGATATTGGAATAGAAGGGTTTCTAAAATGAATAACATTACTTTTTTCAACATTTATAGACATACCATTTACAGTACACCAATTAGACAATAAATCTAGCATGCATTGAAGGTTTTCTTCATTTTCAGCTATCAATACAATGTCATCGGCATAGAGAAGAATTGCAATAATATCTTCATTAATGGCAATGCCTTTGTTACTATTTTTTAGTAACAAAGCTAAGTCATTAACATAGATATTAAACAATACAGATGACAGCGAACATCCTTGTCTTACTCCGGAATTTACTGGGAACCAGTCAGTTGTTAAACTATTTACCCTGATACAAGATGTGACATTGCAATAAAGAGAGTTTACAGCACTTAACATTTTTGTTGAAATACCTATATTTTCTAACTTTTTCCATAGCACGTTTCTATTAACTGAATCAAATGCTTTTCGAAAATCAATGAAGGCACAAAAGGTGGATAATTTGCATTTCTTGCGCGTGTCAATGATATTAGTTAAACTAGAAACATGGTCAATAGTACTTCGATTTCTTCGAAATCCATTTTGCTCTTCTACTAAAGTATCAACATTACTGGTCCAATTAACAATTCGTTCATTAAGAATGCTGGTATATAACTTATACATAGTACAAGCAAGGGACATACCTCTATAAGACAAAGGTTTGCGCTTGTCTTTATTCCCAGATTTTGGAATTGGACTAATAATATTTTTCGACCAAGTTGAGGGTACTTTTCCTGTTTCAAAACATACATTAAAAAGACTATGCAGAATCAATGCCGCTGTGTCATTTTTTAAAACCTCCACAGGAATAAGATCAATACCTGAAGCTTTGTTTAACTTAGCTTTTTCAATAACTTTAACAATTTCGTTTATGCTTATATAATTATCAAGCTCTTGGACATATACATGTTCCGTTGGTACATGGATTGTTTCATCATCAACAGTATTATTAATGTTCAAACGATTGCAAAAATCATCTTTCCATTTTAACAAAATAGTTTTGACATCAAATGAGATACTACCATCATCTAATACGACTTGCATTGGTATGCCTTTCTTACGGTCATTACTAATTCCAATTTTACCAATACTCTTCCAAAATGAGTTGTCATTTTTGTCTACTTCATTCAACAATTTATTTTGCGTATCATACCAATACAATCGTTTACAACGTTGAACTTTTCTATCAAAATCTTTTCTTAAATATCTATATTGGTGCTTATACTCAATTTGTAATGCTCTATTTTTACATTTTAACCATTTTCTCTCTGCCTCACATAAGTTTAGCCATAGGTCATTCAAATTTGAATTCCACCAAGGCTTACTTTTAAACTTTTTTGCATAATTCATAGAGTTAATAACTTTATAGGGAACTTTATTATACATATTTGTTTGGATCAGTTCACACCAACCATCATACACTGTATCAATATCACTTTGTGTTCTCATACCCTGTTCAATATTATTAATGAAAATATTGACTTGTTCTAATGTATCATGATCTAACATAAATTCAGATGGTATAGATTTCAAATCAAATTTTACATATCTGCTTTCATTATCATTTACATGTATACAATTAGCAATAGATGAATTTATTTTCAACCTCCAACATAATATAGAATGATCTGGTACATTAGTAGCAAAACATGAACTAATATTAAGTCTAGTAAGTAGATCTGATACATGAATAACATTAAATTTTTCAAAATAATCTAAATTATCGTGACTTACTAAACAATAATCCACAACTGAACAACCTTTTGAAGATATTGATGTATAATCATTTACCTCATAGTTTCGACCAATTAACATACAAAAGTTACAGTCAATTAAAAATTGCATTAAAAGCTCACCATATGCATTACTTTTAAAATCAACTACATGCCTATTAGGAATCATATCTACCCGGCAATGAAAGCATCATTATCCCCACATCTACTGTTAAAATCACCGCATATCATGACCAGACCTACATTTTGGTAATCATAAATTCCTTGCAATAATAAGTCATAAAAGTAGTAACCATCGACACAACGTGTTGAATTTTTCGGAGGAAGATAGCATACACATGGACAAAGAGTTAAATCAAAAAATCTATGAATCATTTTTAACCAAAGTATACCTTCATGAGCATTGTTTAAAATTGAAATATCAAATTCACATAATAAGTCAGTTTTAATTAAAAAACCTATTCCACCTGAGCCATGCCATGCTTTTGTGTGTATATTTTTTCTATTTTGCCCAAACCATGTATAGTTTTGGAGCTCAATAGTATCATTACCCAATAAATGTGTTTCTGATATACCTATGATGTCTAAATCTAAATATTGTATACAATTGTTTCTTAAAGTAAAATTGTCTGAAGAGGAATCTTTGCACCACCCTCGAACATTCCAGAAACCTGCTGATAATTAATGTCGGTTGTTACGCTGTTCCCTTCGATTTTTATTCAAATTACTTCTAGCATAATCACTGTCCTGTCTACCTGAAAAAGAACCAAGTCTGTCATTTCTTTTATATTGGTTATTAAAATTTGTATGGTTATTCCCACTATAGTCACTTCTATCTCTGTTGCTAGTATTTCTTGAATTCCTATCATAATCCTGTCCAATAGAATTCTTCCTGGAATGACCACTTTCCTGTTTCGAATACTCATCCGGGCGACTACTGTCAGATTGTTTTGTGTAATTATGTCGGTTGTTCTCAGAGGCATTGTCAAAGATCTTATTGCCATGTAATTTAATATCATAGCCCTGATCGCGTAGACACCTGACAAGAGTGCGCAAATTGTTATTTTGAGTCCTCTCATTTGCCGGTAAGTCTCTATCTATGAAAACACGTTTATATTGATTAGAGTTTTTTAACATCTTTTTATGTTTAAGAACCTTATTTTTATCATCCTCTGTCTGGAAGGTTGCAATGATTAGCCCTGGTTTTGATCTGGAGTCAGTTGATTTTCGAATAGCATTGACGACCCTTATATTAGGCAGGCAAACACCATCCTTAAATAGGTTATTTACCTTCGTATTCACGTTTTCACCATCATGATACTGTAGACCTCGAATAACAATGTTAAGGGATTGCTTATTACAGTAAGTTTCACCTTCATTTACCCTATCTTTAAGTTCGGAGACTTTCTCTTCAATAATTTTCATGTCTGTTGCTATCTCATCTTTTAAGTACTGAATCTTTGACTCAAAATCCTTTTTTACCTTATTCATTTCAACGTTAATCCTTTTATCAAATATACTGGCTATCTTATGTACAATTTTAGCCTCTAGAGTGTCCTCTAGTCGGTCGATTCTTTGATTTAGACTGTCACTTAGGCCAGCTATGTTATCATTCAATTTCACAACTAGACTAGACAGAGTAGCAAAACTGTCACTTTCATGAACGAATTCAGAGGTCGCCATATGCTGACCTGCCTTTGATTTTGGGGTATTGCCATATAATAGTCTTCTTGCTGACATTATATCACATGAAACGTCATTTTTGTAACTTACTTTTGGAGTCAGTGAATCCTGGTTAGTCTCTACCACTTTGCTTTTCTTTTCCGATCAATATCCGGCTTAATCAGTATTGGCTTCGATTATCGCAATACAGCACGTGGCTGTTACGCAATATTATGTCAGCAATGACACCGCGCGAAAAGAATTAAAATTGGGGAATTCGGAACTTCATAAGATTTCTATTCCAAGCTTGTGCATAAAAATGCAAGTCTTTATGTTTCCTGAAATAAATGATTAAATGATTAAATAAATACATAAATAAATAAATAAATAAATAAATAAAAAATAAAAAAATAAATGAGTGGTGATGAATGAATGACTAATTGTTTGATTTGTGGTTGATTGATTGATTGCTTGAATGAATGAATGAATGAATGTATGAATGAAATAATGTGAATTAATGAGATATCATTCACATTGTTGTTGTTTTTTACATATGCAAGTACATGTATTAAATTATTTATGGGATATATATAAACGTAAAATTTAAATACTGTGTGTGGACAATCCCGATTTCATCTTCGTGATTTCATAATTTTACCTTTCACGATTTCAACTTCACAGATCCACGATTTTAATATAATTAATTTATGTTTTGAACATCACAATTTTAACTTTATCATTTTCTCATGTTTGGCTTATCATTTCAAATTATTATAATGATAATGATAAAGAAATTACAAAACAACATGATTCACCATAAATGCAGAATACAAAAAGTACTATCTAATCGTCAATCGCAATTGTAAAGTATTCGCTATTTATCTGCGGCTGTATGCTAAAAAGCAAACCACGCGGTATTGAGCTAGAATACCGCGTTGCCTTGTATACAAAAGAAGATATTTCAATATACGTTGTCGTACTACAGGTGGATGTTTTACACGTTCTGTGTACTGACGATATTATTAGTATGCAATTGACGTGTTAATACTTCCAGAAAATATTACATCGTGTAAAAGCGTTCCTGTTTTATGTTAGTTTGTCAAATGTCTGACAAATATTAGATCAGACTTCTTTCCTCTTATAGGTAATTGGCGATTTAGAAGTAAATCTTCATTCGCTATTTCTATATACAGAATTCGTATTTGCACGAATACGGAATTTCGTATTTTAGTAATATACGGACTTGTAATAAAAATTCTGTACATCATTAAAATACGGACTTCGTATATCAAAGATCCCGTATATTACGAGTGTACGGATCACCGTATATTGGTCATATACGGACTAACATAATATACGGTCCCGTACATCTCCGTATTTTCAGTTTCCCGTATTCTTACCCGTATATTAATGATATACGGAATTCCGTACACTTCCGTATATCCATACCTTTTTCGCAGTGTTGGTAGCTTTGTATGTATTTGTGACTCTCCGAATGGAGGTGAAAAAGTTAAAAATCAAGCTTTGACAGTTGGCGCCAAACAAGTAAGAAATTCCGGATAAATTTTGTGAAAAATCTAAACGCATGACAGACACTTTATTGGTCATTTTTGAAAATGCCATAGCTTGCACTGCGTGTTAGTGATATTTTTAAAGGAATCGGATTCTGGAGTATGCTGCACCTTCATGAAGATTGCCCATATTGGTATATTTTAGGTGTGATTTTGGCTGGGCGGGGGTAAATATAAATTGCTGTCAGTCATTTTTTTAAGGAGCAATGCATGCAAACTATTATTTTCTTCAATGTATGTCATAAATCATTGAATAATGCTGTGCAACTCGTTATCTGCCTGTGAAACAGATTTTGAAATATTTGGAATTGTGTTTCTAGCCACACTGAATTACAAAATTGTTCATTTTTAGGTCCCCTGCCCCCTATGTGTTTTGATTTAATACAAATGATGAGTACTCTTTAAGGGGCGGTAACTTTTCTATTTTCGCTTCAACTAGAACAGTTCTTTCTTAAATTGAGGTTAGTATCCTAAACAAATGATAATTTCGCGCAGGATTAATTCCGTATGATTTCATGTATTCTTACACTTCTGCCAATCCTTGTAAATATAGTACCATCAGAATAAAATTGAAAATTAAAACATTCCACAGACCATTTTTAATGATACTAAAACATTTTACAAAAATTGACTATATTTTCCTTTGGATAGCAAATTAATACACCCATTACTCATTATACCAAGAGTTTACGCATTTTTGGGACTAGCAGTTGTTAAGGGCCGATTTGGTTAGGGGCGAAACGTCCTGTTTGCTCGAGATGATCTTGTTGCGTTAACGGAATATTTTACAAATAACAAGGTTATAAGGGTGCCCTCCATAACATTTGTACCAATGCATCTCCCATCATTTCCTTGTGAGGATTGTAAGGTCCTTCCTTAGCAGTCCTTTATCAGCAGTCCTTTATCACGCAGACTGCATTATACTAGAAGAAACCGGAAACTAAAAATGTAATTGCACATATTTATACATAATTATGGTTTTTAAATGTTATATATAGTTAACAAGTAGTCTGTTATTTATGTTATTATAAGTTTATTGTAATATGCCGCCTTTAATGGAATGGTACTAACGTGTCACATTAAAGGTTCCATGATAACCACCATATGAACACATATGCGGAAGTTTCAAAATTCAAAATAAACTTTACCAGTTCATGTTAAATTGTTATATACTGCTTAAGCCGGTGCTAGGGGACGTTGACGGTAATTTGCACTTACCATTAAAAGTAAAGTGATAACATTTTATAGTCTAAGTTTCATGCTTACGCACGTTCACCGACTTTACAGCTTTTACCCCTGGTCATCGGGCTACTGGTATCTGTCTATCAATCTCCCTAGGGAGTCTTTTAACTCCGCTTAGTGCAGCCGACACTTTGGCGCAACGGAATTATACCACCCTCGCAGGTACCCATTTACACCTGGGTGAAGTGAAGCAATCGCAGGTAAATTTCTTGCTCAATGAAATTAGCAGTGCCCCTGGTGGGATTCGAACTCAGGACCTCTCGATCCCGAAGCGCGCGTCCTACCACTGGACTACCAGTACCGTCCATGAACAGGCTCAAATTTTCAAATTTGCAGTGTTGGGCTTTCTCGAAGGATTCTTATTTTCTCTGTTATATAACTACCACTCCAGCTTTATTATTATTATTTAGCATGAATGATTATATTTGATCCTTGATCTCATAATTATTGTCAATTTAAAATGTCATATACAATGTATTCTAATTAATTGGACCCGTGGTTGAAAAGATATTCCTTGCGTAAACTGTAAATATTATATTCCTTAATATGTCAATTGCCATGTATAAATTTATATAAAAAGAATTAAAAGAAAAAATGTTGTTTTTTTTTAATGATAATATTTTGCCATGGAAAACTTTTATGTACTTGCCATGGCAAATTTTTGCCATGGCAGAAATTTGCCATGGCATTTCTATGGCAAAAATGAATAAAAATAGAGATTGCAATCAAAACATAACAATAGCACCAATAACATGTCATAGGATAAGTTTTAGAATGTTTTGTGATGTTTTAAAAAAATAATTGCCATGGCAAAAGTAGGAAAAACCTTGCCATGGCAATTCTAATGCCGAAATGCCATGGCAAAGCACATTTTGCCATGGCAAATGCAAACGTTCAATGCATTTTTACAAAAAAAGTATTAAAGATAGAAAAACAAAACATATTAACTTTTAAACCTTTTAGTAAATATGACAATTTAAGATAGTTTTCATTTTTTTAAAGCGCGTAAAAATAGGGGTTGAATTTGCCAAAAACAGGCGCGGCATAAAGAAACCGGCAGCTATTCTTATTTAGGCCCCCAACACTTGTTTTTGTTTAAGAAATAATGTTAAAAAAGTGACCTCTTTTTCGGCGCGGCCCCCAACCAAAAGATACATCAGGGGGTTGCCAGAAGGGGGATGTGACCCCTTCTGTTTGGGGGGTTTGAAGGGGGGCGGAGTCAACATTTGTGCTAAGTTTAAATAGTGTTGAAGCAGTTTTTATAGTATTATAGCAATTTGAACTTGTAACGGGCGACTTTTCAATGAAAACAGCCATTTTTCACAAAATGCTCATGAAGTAATGGGTTAATGAAAAAAAAAATCAAAAAATCTACCAAACAACAATTTTTCTTCAAATTTATATGACAGGCCATGTTTAAACATGAAAAAACGCGATTTAGGGTAATTTCAAGTATTTTCATCATTAAATTAAGAGCAGAGAAAATGCGCAAGCATTGCAATCTAAACATTAACTATAGAAATCCCAATAAAATAAAGTTTGAAAAATTATGAACACTGTTCCTTCTTATTATTTGGTTTATAGAAAATATTGCAAGATTTTAAATAAAAATATTTAAGAAAAATATTGACTTAAAATTGAAAATTTTGATTATATCATTATTTCTTATATAATTTATTTCAAGTTATTCTTTCTCCTGCAGATTAAAAAAATAAGATGGCATATGCGAGTTATATATTAAATAAACACCTTTTATTATATACTTATAAATGAAATATTGAGAAATATTGATGAAATAAAATGCATATTTTCATTTTCCGTATCTTCACTGTAAAAATTTATTTTTCACTGCAGTGAAACATATTTTCCGTATTTTCACTGGTGTCTTACCGGACTACTTTCTTTTAAATTCTGCCAGTACACAAAATTTAAGGGAAAGTCTTTCAAATTTTATTGTCAAAAAAGAGAAAAATGTATATAATAAACAGAAAATTCAAGCTTTTTCTATAAATACACGATTTATTTTCATCTTGTGGCATGAAAATTACCATATTTTACTCGTGGCTACCGCCACTCATGAAATATTTATTTTTTATACCACTCGATGAAAATAAATCATGTATTTATAGAAAAAACTTGAATATCATCTATATATTAACATTTATTTTGTATTGAGTGAATTACTGAATGGTAAAACATCAAGTCAGCACAGAAAATCTGGCATTATACAAATATAACAGGTCATTTAAGTCGAGACAAGTTATGTCAATTGAGGTAGCGTCCAGTTTAAAGCCGCGAGAAATTACCGTCAGTTTCTAAAATGTCGCGGGTAAGGATTTGGGCAAGTT